ATTGCCTGAGCCCAGGGGTTCGAGACCAGCCTGGGAAACTTGGTGAGAACTCATCTCTACAATAAATCACAAAGTTCCAGCTACTTGGAAGGCTGAGGCAGAAGGATCGCCTAAGCCCAGCAAGTCAAGCAAGTCGAGGCTGCGGTGACCATGAGCGTGCCACTGCACTCCTCTAGCCTGGGCAACAAGAGTGAGACTCCAACTCAAAAAAAAAAAATACTGATATCTGCAAGAGAGTTTAAAATCACTATCTTAGCATTTTCTAAAAACAAAAATACTTATCTTTTAAGAGAGCCCTAAGCAGCTGGTTGCTTACGTGCCAAAATGTACTAAACCTTCCCCAGTTCTGGGAGAGATTGGCAGAGACTGGGTGTCTGTGGAGTGGTTTCATGTGGTGCTGTTCAGACTATTAGTCATGCAGACATCTATACTAATAGCATGAGCTTGTGATTAGCTAAACAATTTTAGGGACATTGTTTATTTGTCTACAGGGACTGAAAGTATTTGCACCACCCTGTGCTGCATGCACACCTCCCATTGTGGTCATGCCACCTTTGTCTTCTGACCCTGTCACCAGCTCTGGAACTTCTATATCATCTCCCCTTAAGGCTAACCAACACCATTGCTGGGATCAGTGGCTCAGCCTGTAATCCCAGCACTTTGGGAATCCAAAACTAGTGGATTGCCTGAGCCTGCTGGTTCGAGACCAGTCCGGGCAACTTGGTGAGAACTTGTCTCTACAATAAAATTAAAAAATGAAAAATTAGCCCGGCATGGTAGCACACGCCTGTAGTTCTGGCCACTTGGAAGGCTGAGGCAGAAGGATCGCCGGAGCCCAATATGTCGATGCTGGGGTGGCTGTGAGTGTGCCACTGCACTCCAGCCTGGACGACAGAGTGAGACTCCAACTCAAAAAAAAAAAAAAAAAAAAAAAAGACTGACCAACACCAGGCCAGCCCAAGGAACATGCTGGAGAAATCCAGCAGACTGTTATACACAACAGTTCTGGAACATGGGGAAGGAGTGAGCTTGGGAGTAATTTCCCTAGATGTGATGGCTGGAGACAGTAAATTTTTTTGGAGTTGGAGTCTCGCTCTGTCGCCCAGGCTGGAGTGCAGTGGCACACTCACGGCTACCGCAGGCTCGAACTGTTGGGTTCAGGTGATCCTTCTGCCTTAGCCTTCCAAGTAGCTGGAATTATAGGCATGCGCCACCACACCCAGCTAATTTTTTGATTTATTGTAGAGATGAGGTCTCACCAAGTTACCCAGGCTGGTCTCAAACCCGTGGGCTCAGGCAATCCACTCACCTCGGTCTCCCAAAGTGCTGGGATTATAGCTGTGAGCCACCGTGCCTGGCCATGACAATAAATTTAATAACCAAAGACAGTGTCAACAGAAGAGAACTAAGGATGGAATCTTGGGGACCTATTTAGAAGTACCATGGGAGAAAAACATCTAGAAGAGAGGCCGCCAAACCTGGAGTCTGAATGGGCTTTTTGGTGGTGTGTGACTTAGGGCAGCTTACATTCCGAACCCAGGTTTATTGGCACATAGACTGGGGGACATTAAAGCACCTCCTGTGATTGTAGAGATGATTAAATAAGATCATGTAGGTAAAGTGTAGTGAGGATTCCTTTTCACTTTCAAAGAAAAAAGAAGTAGCGAAAGAGGGTACGGCAGGTAACTTGGAAAGAGACGTCAAGAAAGAAGTGATCTAGGGAGGGGTTGTGGACATTAAAAATGAGAAGAGGCTGGTGAATTCTGGAGGGGGAACTCCCTGTGGAGTTTCTGGTATTGGGTTTCAGACCATCGTGAATTGTCTCAGATGATGATGGGTGAGGAATCCACATGGAAGTCATTCAGCCTCTTCGTGAGTGATTTTCTTGTTTTACGCTATGATTATTTTCTTCAGTGAGAGAGAAAAAGGTGGAACTCCCATAGCCAGAAATTGCTCCTAACACTAAGAGTGCTCGTATGACTCTGGTGCCAAAGAGACATTTTAAAAATGGCTACTTCTAGGAAGCCAGCAGGGTAGAGTAGAAGCACAAGTTGGATTCTTTGGGCTCAGTTGCATGTAATGAAGAAATGAAAACTGTGGGCACAGACAATAGGAAACCACAACAATGATGCATCTCCCACCCAAGGGCCCAGTAATACTAGGCTCAAAAAGAATTCAGACTTGAAAAAGTGAGTTTTATTTCTCACAAATTCAAATCAGAGATAATTGAAGAGCGATTGTCCATCCCAGTATCATCTTGTGACCTTATCCTAGACCCTCTCCCTATGACCGTACAATCAGCCTCCAGTAAGGAGTTTTGGGGTCCCCAACCCTGCCCACAATCTGCACCTTTTCTCATTTGCTTATTCTTGCTTCTGTTGCTTCCTTTGCTTCCTGTTTTGTCTCTACATTGACCTAGAGCTAAACTTCTTGACGTTGGCTTCTTTTTCTGACCCCATGTTCCTCAGCGTAACTCAAAGCCCAGGAAAAGGTAGTCCCTCCTTTTCTATTCTCATTTCACATCACTGTCTGCAGCCTGAGCTCTCCACCCCCAACTCAGGGCGTCCTTCTCCAGACCGCTCTACTCCCCACGGGGGACCAGGGCTTCCTTGCTCCCCTGCTGACTCCTTGGCCTGAAAGTTCCTCTCTCTCCCTCTGTTTCCGCCTTCTCTGCCTATTGGGATCCAGTCAACCCTCAAACGTCAGCTCACATTCAACTCAGGACTTCTCCAGAGTCCTGTGTGCTCATATTTTGTCC